AGAGTTGATTCAAAGAGACAGACGGGTTTTTATTATGAGAACACGACCGACTCTCCCTCACTGTAATTCTGTCTCTGCGCAGTTCTCTCATGCTCCATCTGACCTGCGCAATGCCGGGTATTCAGCATAAAGCTTCGCCGTAGGAGTCCGCACATACCTCCATAGCAGTGTCTCAATGTGTTATGGCCATTAGGAGTGGCTCTGGGGCGATGCACAGCGGCTATGGAGCTATAATGGAAACAAAATGTTTCTCTTTCTGCGGCTGGGGAGCCGGGGCTCTGTTTCAAAAGAAACTGCATTCACCATGCCCCCGATGACTCCGAGATGCTTTTAGACTCTGACTGTGAAAAGGGAAAGACAAGGGGAGGCACAGAGAGAGAGAGAGGGAGAGAGGGAGAGAGAGAGAGGGAGAGAGAGAGAGAGAGAGAGAGAAGGGGAGGGAGAGAAAAAGAACAGAGAAAGTAAAAGAGGGAAAGAGACATACAGACAGAAAAAGAAAAAAGAAAGAAAGAAAGAGTAAGGAATAACAGAAAAAATGAGGGGCAGACAAGCAAGAGAGAGAAAGTGCTCGAGTAAGAACAAGGAACAGAGCGGGAATGAGCGAGAGAGTAAGTGTGAGTGAGAGAGAGAGAGCGAGCTTGTGTAAGAATAAGGAAGAGAGCGAGAGAGAGACAGTGAGAGAGTGAGTAAGCGAGAGAGAGTGTGTGTGAGGATGAGAGAGTGAGCTTGTGTAAGAATAAGGAAGAGAGCTAGAGAGAGACAGCAAGAGAGTGAAAAAGTAAGTGTAAGAGAGAGTGAGCTTGCGCAAGAATAAGAAAGAGCGAGAGAGATACTGAGAGTGAGAAAGCACGAGAGAGAGTGTGTGAGAGAGCGAGAGGATGAACTTGCATAAAAATAAGAGAGACAGCGAGCGAGCGAGAAAGCGAGAGAGAGAGTGTAGGAGAAAGCGAGAGAGAGAGTGAGCTTGTGTAAGAATAAGGCAGAGAGTGAGAGAGTGAGATCTTTACAGTGACGGAGCAGAACGCAGTGAAAGTGTGAGAGAGCTGCTGGAATCTCCATCAGAGTGCAGCAGGAGGATGATTCCTCCTCCCCCATGAAGGTGATCTCATGGTGGGATTTGTCTGATCTGATCAGTCCCTGCTGGAGCTGTAACCGATCAGGCCTATCAAGCTGTGTGTACGCATGGTATGAGAGAAGCGCTGCAGCTGCTCAGCTGAGACCTGCGCTCGTCAGTGGCCTGTTTCTGGCAGGAGCAGAGCAGAGGACGAACGGAGACAGACACTGTTCATGCACCATAAAGACACTGTCCGTCACTCAGAGCCTCCTGTCCCTTCACACTTGAGTCTGCCTGCCAATCACACCAGCATCCGCTCAGCTTTTACGATACCAAAGCTCCTGTGGCCGGATGCACCAGCTGTGCGTAAGTTCAAACGTAGGCTAGTTGCACCGTAAGTCGTTACTAAGTTCAGGTTTATGCATTAATAAATCAAAACGAGTTACACCACACAAACTAGCTTTAACGTTGAGCTTAGTAGTTACTACACCCCCCTCAGCAGGTGTAAGTTTTGGGGAACCATCAGAAACCATGTAGAAAGCACAAAAAAAGACTAAAAACATTTTTTGGTTAACTAAGCTAAAAATTCTAAACACTATACGCTGTGATTTTACTTACAGTTCTAATCCTTGCCCTGGTTTAAACTCCGAGCATGAAGCTAAAGACACACAGCTCCAGCTCAGTGAGACTCAGCAGCTGCCCAAACGGATAAACCGAGGCCACTGTTGTGTCGGTTATCCAGAAACCGTTATTGAAAAAGCCCTATATTTCAAGGAAATATTGAAGAATAAACAGACAGTGGATAGAGACAATTCGTTTTATTCAGTTTAACCTGTACACATCGTTCTCTTCTACGCTGGATATTTTTTCCACTGAAAAAGTCAGAGCAGCTGCAGTGGCATTTCCATGGCAGCAGGTTTACTGACTGGTTCTGAACATGTTGTCATGTTAAAGCGACGTACGCATTAGTTAGTTGATACTAGTTAAGACACGACTTATGGATTTGTGGCGCAACCAAATTTAGTAAAAGGATAGTTTGAAACTAATTAGTGTAACTAAGGACTTAGTAAAGACTTTACGCCCAAACTTAAGTATAAACGTACACAAACCTGGTACAACCCAGCCCTGGACTGGGTTCCAAAAGTTTTGCGCAAGTTTGTACTTAAGTTTGTGCGCGAAGTCAAAGTCAAGCCAAGTCAAAGTTTATTTATACAGCGCTTTTTACAACAGGTGTTGTCACAAAGCAGCTTTACAGAAAAATCTGGGTCCGAGCCCCCATGACCGTCGCCAATGGCAACAGTGCCAAAGAAAACCTCCCTAAGAGCAAGAGGAACCAAGAGGAACCAAGACTCAAAAGGGGAACCCATCCTCCTCTGGTCAACAACGGATAGCAAATAGCGTTAGTATAAAATATTAGAATACAAAACAGGGAAAAACAGGTAAGGCAATGGTTAATTAGATAGTTTGAGTCTGCGCAGCAGCAGCGGCAGCATCAGAGGGGTCAGTTCAAGCAGGTGAGATTTGCACAGCATTGTACAGCGAGAAGCTCCATGGTGGTCAAACCGGTCCAGAAGGCTGGTGAGCAGTGGGCACCCAATCAAGGACGAAGAAGCAACAGCATCAGACCGCACAGGATGGGCAGCTGTTCAAAGCCTTTACAAAGTCCTCAGTTTACACTAACAGGTTTCAAACTGTCCTTTTATTAAACTTGGACCAGATTTTTAAAGTCATGTTTCTAAAGTGTACGCCGCTTTAACGTCGCTTTAACGCAAATTCAGAACCAATCTATAAACCCACTGTCATGAAAACACGATGGCTGCTTAAGCATTCGTGGAAAAAATATCCAGTATAGAAGAGAACAATGGGCCTCACTCACCAACCGTTCTTAAGAAGAAATTTCTTTTTAAAACCCACTGACGCAGTTTTCAGGAAGATTCTGACATTTACCAGTGTTTTCTTATTAGGCATTTGTTCTTAGGTAAGAACAGAATCTACACACACTCAAGAGCACAAAGGTGAGAACAATTCTGTGGTTTAAGAACACGTCATGACACTGACGCAGACTTTTTCTTAGGAACTTTTTCCAACTGAACTGATTAAAACTGAACACCTGTTTTCACTGTTTCTTTGTTTATTTTTTAATATTTCCTCAGGATGACCAACTGTGCAGCTTTTTTAAACAACAATTTGTAACCATTCAACATTGTTCAACAGTCTAACATAAACAAGTCTCAAGAAACTGGAACTCTGCATGTTAGCTTCATGTTTGGAGCTGAAATTGAAATAAATGAAAGTGTCACAATTAAAGCTGTAACTAAAATCACAGTACACAAGTGTTTTTAGCCACATTACCTTAACCAGTCAGGTCATTTTGGTCTACTTTGTGTTGTACAGCAGCTCAGGGGGAGATGTATATATTTACTCGCTACTAAATTCAATGTAAAGACCAGTCTAAGTGGTGCAACCCATTTTGATTCACTGATGCGTAAACCTGAACTTAAGCTATAACTAGAGCATGTTTAAAACTGGTGCAAATTGAGGAGGTATATTCACACATTTTAACTGAACACTTCCACCCGCCAATTCTTTAATCAGTCATTTTAAACCTACACTTTACAGTGTGGCCTGTATCTAGACACCCTTTCTGATTAGTGAATGCAGCTACATTAACGTTCACTCAACGCTGACACTGGTGTTCAATTAAGCTTGTGAAATCTCTTTCAGAAAACCGTCGCCAATCGAATGGGACACTCTGGAGCAGCAGCACATGAGCCTAAGGTCACCATGTTAAACGCCAAGCGTCAGCTAGAGGGGTTTAAAGCCTCCCAACACTGAGCTGTGGAGTAGTGGAACTGTGTTCTCTGGAGTGATGGAGCTCCATCCAGTACATTGAGTTGGAGTGACCCAACCTCAGTACCTGACCTCACTAATGCTCTGTGGCTGCAATCAAAGCATCACAGCAATGTTCCAACATCTAGTGTAAAGCCTTCCCAGAAGAGTAGAGGCTGTTCCTGCAGCAAAGGGAGACAAACTCCCTATTAATACCCTTCATTTCAGGAGAAACACTGGAGGAGCAGGTGTCTACAAACTTTTGGCCATATAATGTAGCAATAAAACTAACATGAACAACAAGTTACAGCAAATGTAATATTCACTGAAATTAATACATAAATGCAGGATGGTAAAAACTGTGAAGTCAGATAAAAATTTTAAAATGGTGCATATCGTACAGTTTTCTTCAATTTTATTTTTTCCTTTATGGTCTCTTTATACTATTTGCGCAGTCTGCTGTACCAAAAATGCTCAAAAAACAACTCATCTCACTTGATCATTTTCCAACCTCTCTTTATCCCTTAGAAATAAACAGGCTGTTTTTGTTACTGCGCCCTTAAGACTTCTGTACATGAGCTCTGTTCTGATTGCCTGCCCTGTGTACTGCCTCATTCTGAAATACTCTTTAGAATGTAAAAATGAATGGGCGGGTCTAAACTGCTATAAGCCAGACAGGCAGACAAACGTAGATGAGCCGTTTCCCGTGACATCACAGAAACAAATTCAAAACAGGCTGGTCTTGCAGTTTAGTTCTCATATATGGACTGGATGGACTGGAGAGGGAATGGCTGCCTCGAAAGTTTAACAGTGTTTACATATTAGTTAAAACTCCTTTATTTTCTATTTTAAAGCTTGGGGAAGTCAGTTTTCCATGATAAGGGCCATTTAAAGTCAGAGCTGTATTGAGGCTGACTGACTGTCATTTCTGAGAAAAGGAGAGTCCTTCGCCATCAAAAATACAACTTTTCCCTACTTTTAGAAATCAGATTCACAGGGATGGCTATTTTGTTAGTCTGCTGACATCGAACAATGGAAACCGTGATTTAACACTGCCATCTATAGGTGGGAAGAGGAAATCACTGTGAGCATGTAGGTATGTACGAGTCTCCTTTACCTTCTTCTGAAGCACAGTGACTTTGCGCTCTTTGACATCGAGCATGTCTTTCAGGTCGTGAATTTCTCCATTAAGTGTGCCTTTCTCCTCTGACATCTCCTGGATCTGCTTAGTCTTCTTGTTCAGCATGGCCTCCTTCTCCTCCAGACGTAGACGCAGAGCGTCCACCTGATCACACAAACACACAGCAGCTGTGAGCAACTCAAACACCCTCAAAATACACGCTCACCACAGCAATAATCAAATTAAAGTCATTCTGTGCTTCGTGTAGTAGCACCGCTTTTCTTGCTCTTCATTCCATTTGTTTTATTTATACTTGAGGCTGAAATATATTGAAATATAAAATGATAACATTTAATATAACAACAAATATAACGTAATCTAATATGATGAACAGTTTGAAGTAACACTAACATGTAAACGCACATGATTCTATCAAATAATTTCATGTTTCTTTTTTCTGTGAGAAATGTATGCAATTGTTTGTAAAAAATTGGGTGCCCGTGATCAAATTACATGTTTTGTTCATTTTTTAAGTGGCAAAAAAAGCGAACATATTCTCTACAGTCTGCACGTTTTAATATACAATTGCTGTTTATTTGCTGAATTTAAAATAATCAGGGGACAAAAAACAAAACATCAAATGTGGCCTGTGTGAAAGTTATGGCACATTTGGGCTTTTATGTATTTTTTTCCCATTATTTTTAACTCATGTCATGCCTTATTTAAGTTTATACCCTGAAGAGGACGTGTTCTCTATGAGAAATGTATAAAAGCGAGCCAAGTGAATTCCAAAGTGAGAAAAATATGCTTTCTGCATATTTACACTTGCTGATAGAACAGCAGTAAAATAAGTCTATCTGGCTTTTTTCAGGTTCACTTGGCTGAAACTGTCTTTTATGTTGATATGGACAAAAGTGCCTTCAAATCATCTTATGCATAAACTCAACACAGCAGAAACAATACAAATAATAATAATAATAATAATAATAATAATGTAACAACTTTCCAAAAACATTCATCCCCATACAGACAAAAGTATTCTCCACTCTAATTTGGAATGAATCCTCAGCTCCCTTGGCTGGTATTATAAACGACTGGGGAAAATTTCTGCCTCGCTAAGTTTCTGACAGAGAGACCCATTCACTCCAAAAGCGACTTAAGGTATTTATTGCATGTCAAACAAGTGAAATATGAGATTATTCATCCAAATGACCATGTTAGGAAACAACTTCTTGCTTGATACAACAGTGCCCCCTAGAGTTTCAACCAACATCTAGTCGTACCATTTGTGTCTATTCATGTTAGACGTTCTTGTGTACATAATCGTAAGTCCAACAACGTATTATCATGTTGTGCAGTTCTTGTGCAGTTATTTAGCTCCTTCACAATATCATAAAGGTTTATAGGTGCCATGTGAGTGAATATGGCAGACAGCAGCAGTTTGTTTAATCACTGGTAAAGGAGTACAGTTCCGTAGGGTTTACCTCGGTCTGCAGGATGGCAGCTCGCTGTTCTTTGGCAGTTAGAGACTCTTTGAGAACTTCAATGTGCTGCTTGCTATCTGAGAACTGATTGGTGAGCGTCTCCAGTTTAGTCTGCAGGCCCAGGAGTTCAGTGTCCTTTCTGGAGAGGTCCTGCTTCACCTGGTCGATCTGTAGAACACGAACAGTAAGTGAGCTCATGCTGTGTGAGAAACGCTACATGAGGAAGAGCACAGTGCAGGTTTTCAGGCCCTGCCTAATAAATAAACAAACAACTCTCCAATTTTTCCCTTCTCTAGTGTTCCTTCTCTACTGCATACATACAGACAGCGTAGCCCATAAATAATTGGTGACAGTTTTTTGTTGTTTTGGCTCTGTACTGCAGCACTGGATTGGAAATGAAACAATGACTACGAGGCTAAAGAGCAGAATGTCAGTTTTAACCGAAGGGTATTTAAAGATATACTGAGTGAACCAAATATAACCTTTGAAATACAGTCCCTCATTTCTGGGGACCACAGTTAATCGCACAAGTTAACATAATGTTTACAGATTGCATATTACCACTTTTCTCTTTCTGACAACAATACTGATATATTTATCCAGGCTGGAACAACCAGACTAATGAACAGTTTCTACCCACAGGCAGTCAGGCTTCTGAACAAGCTGTGAAGCTGTGGGTCCTTCCCCAACTGCCATTTCACTCGGTCACGTATTATTTATTTATTATATCACTGCTACGACAATATCACTAAATCACTAAGTCACTTCAAAATGTATATATACTGTTCTCAGATTATCCCTTGTTTAGCATATTTGTACACAGCAGAGAGTTCTTACATATGCCCCTCGTCTCTCTGAATATTTTGTGTATATTTATTTTATTTCAGTTTTAGTATTTTGTTTTTAAATTTTCACTTTGTTTTCTCTGCACTGTTTTTAGTATGTATATAATGCTGCCCTGTGCCTTACCACAAGCATTGCAATGCATTAATGTCCCGACATTTTGTGCAAATGACAAGCTTCAAACTTGAGTCCTGAGTATCAGCCGATACCGATCCAATAATTTATTTTTCTTAAAAACTACGAAGATTTAAAGAGCCCATAGTGCGGAAAACTACATTTTCCTTACTTTTAAATAAAAGAGTAGTATCTAAGCACTGCTAAAGATTCAAAAAATACTATTCACTTTCCAGGCCAAACATGAAACTAAGCTGCAAAAACAGCCCATTTTGAACTCACTGCTTCTGAGATGCCACAAAAAACCAACACATTTCCACATATTCACCTATTTAGCCTACTGCACTTTAGTTCTGCCTATTCACATTTAAGCTAGAAGGAGTGTTTCAGCCTGGTCAGCTATTTGAATGAGACACCAATACAAGGCAGCCAATCAGAAATGTTCTCAATATTTTTGGTAAATAAAAATCACACAAAAATTACCCCAGGAGAAAAAATAAAAAGCAAGAAAAATGCAGGACTTGGGCCTTTTAAACCGTGCCATTTATAATAGAAGCAAACATCTAAAAGTAGGCTCAAGCTACTCAAAACACTCTACTACTCAACACAAAGAAATAACATAACATGACACAATGTGCAATTTCAGGGTAGATTCAGATACATGGTATCGCATTGGTGCCATCTCTAACAATCTTAAATAAACTGCGAAGTTAACGAGTGCTTGTCGACTGTGACCCAGAGATGTTTACTATCTTTCCTGGTGATGCTCTACTAGGACGCCCTTTTCAGTTGCTACTTGTTTGAGGAGTTTTTTGCGCTCAGTTTTGTCGTCAGTAAGTAAAATTTAAGTGGAATTCACTATGAGTGTCAAGTTAATAACATTTCATTTTTTTGTCCTGGAAAACTCCATGAATATGAAAGGTTTTGGGTTGTTGTCTTGCTGCAAAGTATTGCACCATCAGTTTTGAGGCATCTTGTTGGATCTGAGCAGTTAAGATGCTTCAGAAATCATCCTGCTGCCTCTAGCAGCCCCAGTACCGTTAAAGAGAGCTGATTCAGTCCCACTAACAGCATGCCAGAGTCACCATGTCACACAGATAAGCTAGTGTGCTTGTATCACAAACAGTTCCATTTTCTCTCCACACTTTCCTAGTTTCATCACTCTGGTGCAGGTTAATCTTCGTCTCATCTGTGCAGGCTTTTTAATGAATAGTTTAGCAAACTGCACCCTTGCCTTTCACTTAATGAGACTTACTAGTTGTTTGTATTGTGATCAACCTAGTAGTGGGTGGTATGGGCAAAAATTTAAAACAAAAAATTATACTTAAGCTTACTGATGGTTTTGGTGTATGTAACATCATAGTGTATTTATGTATATATATATATATATATATATATATATATATATATATATATATATATATATATATATTTTAAATAAAACCCTTTTGGAGGTTTAAGTAAACCTTTTTTTTATAGATTAGCAAATCATATATTATTCTGGATATCCCTTCACTTTTAATAAGAAACACATTTAACAACTGTCGTAAATCTAAAATATTTTTATGGAATATTTTATTGAATAAGCCCACAGCAGCTTCTGAATGTGATGAATGTTGCTTTATGTCCAAAAGTCATTTGTCTCATATGTGCGTCTCTCTCACACTCGAGCTTTAATATACGACTATCAGATGCTTCTGGAATTCAGTAAATATTACAGCCGTTCACACTATCAGTTTTAGCTGAGAAGCTGTGGACCCTCTCAGCTTGTAGGCAGAGACCGCGTCATCGCCTGAAGCACCTGGCTGAGTGAAGAGTGCCATCAACAGATAACCCTAAGAGACTGGCTTTTCCTTCCAATCACCCCCCACCAATTAACTCACAACAATCTGATAGCTGGTCCTTTGACAACAAACTGGATTAACTTAAAAACCTGACGAAAACTGGATTTTTGTCTTTGAGGTGAGCAAGCAAGCCAATATTTCTAAAAGTGTTTATTGTGTGTTATTGTATTTAAATGTTGTTGTTTATTCTTTGTGGCAGTTGTACATGATTTTTGATGTGGAAACGCTGCAGTTGCCCATTTAATCTCGGTACAGCAGTCTATTTGTGGAAAGGTGTGAACTGTTCTCACAGCAGGGGCTCTCATCCCTCACCTTCACCCTACATTGCTCGCTAGCAGCTCGTCACACAGAGAACTAACAGTGTCCTAGTTAACCTGATTTTGTTTGATTATATTAATTAAAAATATAAAAGTTGATTTTTCATCCCACTGGCAGAATAAAGTGTAGACATGCTGGTCTAATCCACTCTTTACGGTAGTCTTACTTAACTACTTTTGGTCACCTGAAATGGGTGGACCATGCATAACACATCGGATCTGATTCATAAAGGATTCACTCAATATGGATGCATATGTCCTCAAATTAAAGCTGACCATTTGCAATTTAAATTCACCATCATTGTTTCATTTCAGATCCAATGCATTGGAGTACAGAGCCAACAAAACAAAAAAGCGCCAACTAAATTTCGCTCCTCAGTCAGGACATCTGTGGTGAGAGGAGATGACAAAGCTGACTTTGACGTGACTTGTTTACTCTCCAGTTACTTACAGACTGTACTGTATAACTGCCAATAATTAATCAATGATGGAGAGCCCTCCAACCACTGATGTAAGTCCTTCCAAAAATCTGTTCTGATATACTTTTCAGTTTCACTGAGGAGCTCGGGGCACTCCAGCATCTCATTGTCTCATGCTGCAAATACAATTTGAAGTGTTAAACTGGACAGACATAACTGATCAGTTGAGGTTTAGCATTACTACACTGCTACAAAGGGAGAAAGCATATCAAATACACTAGAAAACGCATTAAGTATGTTTTTTATACCAGTTATATAAGTTCAGCTGCGGGACATACCACACATTCATAGCAGCTGCCCCGACTTGTGTTGAAATGCTGCACTGAACCGCCCAACTTATATATACAGCATAGATTAAAGATCAAAATTTCTACAGACATCAGTCATCAGTCATGTGAGTCATCACCACAATGGTTTGCTGTGAAACGGTGCATTGTAGAGAAACTTAACAGCTCAAATTTCTTTCCAATGGTGGTAACAGGAAAGAGGGGTCACAACGTCTACAACTCGTTCTATTTACTATCCAAAACAAATAGTGGACCTACAAGTGTCTGAGTTTTCATATGTAACATCAAAAATAGAAGTAGAAAATAACTGTTAAATAGAAGTGAATCCTAAAAATGTGTTTTCTTTAGGCACTATTTTGCATGTATCTCCCCACTATGAACACATTTAAAAAATAGGATTTACTTTTATGTGAGGGAGCTTTCAGAGGCTTTAAACTCTCCTATTGTTTCTGGGCTCAGTTTGACACCATTCAATATTTAGCATCTCTAAATAAATAATTGACAGTTTTTTTGCTCCATATTTAATGACTTTCACTAATTTCATGGGGACAACTGGGTAAATATAAAAGTAACATAATGTTTTCAATGTTTTTGTATGCATCGGTGTCCTTTGGGGTCAGTTTGACCCCACGGCTGTCTTAGCTGTATATAACATAAGAAATATCAACATATTACACACATTTGTTTTGGTTGTTTTGGATGATTTTGAGGTCATGTTTTTATGCAATTTTATTATCCTTAACAAAAACTTCCCTCTGCTTTAGGGCCCTAAACTAAAATCATACCTGTAGTAGTGCAAGAACCACGGACAGTTAACACTACACAGGGGACAGGAAAACATCATTCCCACCAGAACTTTGAGATTTCCCAGAGGTTTAAATTCCTGGGGTGAAACTGACCCCAAGGATAAAATATATGTATATATAATATATGTTAGTAAATTTGAGGATAACAGGAGGGTTAAATTCTTCAGATATCTGGTTCCTATCACCACCACTCCGCAGGTTTCTCTAGAATGACACATTTCACAACAAGCTACCCTAAATTAACGATTAAATGATCCAAGTGAAGTTCTCCTTTACAGTGCTCCACAGGTCCATTCACTCTGACAATCATTAATTCAAAAATACAGTTAAAACAGAGAGCTGTATTCACTCCATGGACATAAGCATATTTCAATATAATTCTAACATGCATGGTAGAGAGCAGCAGGTTAGCAGAGGCTCTAGCTGTGATTCTACCAGCAGTAACCCTGGGGAGAAAAAGTGTGCTAAATTACAGCAGAAAGGAAGGAGAAAAGGAAAGAACAAGGCAGTGGAAAAAGAAGGAGCAATTAAAATCTGGTGGGATATTAGTGCTCACAGCTCTACTCCATCCAGCACTATGGAACAACAGCAGAGGGGGGAAGACAGTGAGAGAGGAAAAGTGAGAAAGTCAAGGAAGATAAGAAGGACAAAAAATAAAAACAGTGCCGGGGACTCTAGCGTGGCGTCCGACCTCTTTGCACAGCAGCGAGCAACCCTGCTTTCCTGATCAGAGGGAGAGTGGGAGAAACCCAATGACTTCACTTGTTTAGAGTGCGCCACTGCCTCCTCAGCCAAGATCCTGCTATTGTGGCAGCAGACAGCCACTGATAAGGCACTGGGAGTCATAGCTGGAATGTTTAATCAGTTCCGTCCCTACACCTCCTATATTTTTCCACCTCACCTCACCTTTGCCCACGGAGCCCATTGATCATACTGTCTCTGCTGCAACTGTTTGTTTACATCTGTTCTCCTCTATCTTTCCCATGACTTCATTGAAGAGTCAGAGACTTTAGTCATCTACATGGGGTCAAAAAGGGCTAGAACTGCAGGCATGAACTATTTTGGTCTGAAGAATAAACTGAATAATTTCTTTAGTCATAAATTATCATATAGTAGCTTAATAGATCTGCCTATTGAACAAATGGACAGTTTAGGATTAAGACTACATGATTATTTGGTTTGGATAACGTACTACAGTAGAAATAAACAGAATAGAAATTGCAAGTGTGGATCCACAGACTTTTGTTATTTGGCACTAGAGCAGTATTTTGCCGACAGGTAAACTGTTCTAAAGGGATGTCAGCCTGCATGTCTCTTTAGGATACACAGTACTGTGAAAAGTCAGAGACCACCCTTCGTTCATTTAATTTCCAATCAAAACAGCCGCTAACCATGTTATTCTTTAGCATAAGGGACAAAAAACATTAACAGAAAATTACACAGAAGCCTCAACAACTAAATGTGATATCACATTTTTCAGTATTTTGTGTGTCCAACCTTTGCCTTTAATACATCAGGCAGTGTTTCGATTTCTAGCTTCCATTCTTTTCAGGAGACCTTTAGTTTTTCAAAGAAATCTACAGGGATATCTTTCTACATTTCCAAAGTTCAGTCTTAGTAGTAGGTTGAACTTTGAATTCTTACGATCGAAGCGATCCCAAACACATTCAATGATGCTGAGTACTGGACTCTCTCAGTAAGGGCTTCTTGACAGCTACACATCCTTTCGGGCCCATACACTCTCAGAAATAAGGTCTGAACTATCACTGGGGCAGTGCCCCTCTTGTCACTGGGGTGGGACCCTCAAGGGTACATCTCAGTACCTTTAGTCAGGGAACATAACTGTACTGTAATCCAATTACATTTTTTTTTTTAAGCTGTACTGACTCCACACACCCCGTCTCGTCTCCAGGCTTTTTATTTTACTGTTCTGTTTTTAAACATTCGGTTATGAAAAGGTACAAATATGAACTTTTCACCTGGAAAAACTTATTTAAGGCTCACAATCAGACCTTAAAACCACTGTTGTACCTTTGAGGTACATTTACATTGTTTGTACCTTGACAAACAAAAAACATACCTTATTTCTAACAGTGTACAGCGCTGAGTCGTCTTCTCACAGTGGAAGGATGGACAGAAACACCTGCTGATTTTTTCAGATCTGAAGCAGCTTGATTTTCTCCTCTCTCTCAAAGAAAAGCTTTAAGTGTTGTCTATCTGATGGGGACAGTTTTGCTGGTCTACCAGGCCTTGCATGGTTGATAATGAGTCCCATCTCCTCTGTATCTTTTTATCATTTTTGAGAATGCTGTTTTTTTTCTTATGCAAGTGGATTATCTTGTATCTACTCTTTAATTATCAATTATTTAATGGTGGTCTCTGACTTTTGCACAGTACCGTAGAGGGATATATGATTCTTCAGATTGTGTAGCACAGGAAAGGTACATAGCATAGCTATCATATGCGTGGATCCACAGACATTAAAATGTCCTTTAACAGAGAAGTTAACTCTTCCAAAGCCATGTCAGCCTTTAGGATATAAAGGGATATTTGATTCATTGGTAGTACTACAGCAGACGTACGTAATATGAGAATCATACGTGTCCTTCTACTGATAAGTTAACTGTTCTGCAAGCACGTAATCCTACATGACCCTTTATTATAAAGAGGAGCTCAATGGTGCCTTGTTCTCTCTCTGGTGAGGGAAGCAGAGCTGTATGTGCACTAGGCTGGCTCTCTGGGTGTCTTACTGCAGAGACCTCCTGCTGCAGCTCAGCCGCCCGCTTTCTCAGCTCCTCGCCCTGGGCCTCACTGTGAGACAGCTCCTCCTTCAGCTGCTCTACCTGTCAGGAGAGGGTGCTGTTACTGCAACAAACCACCAAAACAGCATCCCAAAGCTCAGCAGGCGGTCACTCCTCAGCCAATCACCAGTCACCATGCAGATCACATGGTCAATTCTTAACGTGAATGACATACGCAGACCAATCAGCATTCAGCATGCGGGAGAAACTGCCTGTCTTCAACTCTTGCACAAGAAAAACAGAGGTGCTTGTTAAAAAGCTCATTTGATTGATCAGTTGGAGGCACAGACCGAGAAATGCAAGAAACTGTCACACATTATACAAAACAAACAGATCAATATTAGCACAGAGTAACAAAACGCTGGTTAGGGCAGACTGTTAGTGATGAAGAAACAGCAATACATTACAAACCTTTACTCATATATGTCTAGGCATCATGTAACTACCTTGTTCTTCATGAACTTCGAGTGACTGCGGTAGACTTCCATCTGTTTCATCTCCTCCTCCCTCTCCTCTGTGCTCAGAGCTCCGTTTGACTTCAGCATCTGAACCTCCTCTTCCAGATCCCTCAGACTGCGCTCCAGAGAACTGATCTTAGAGTCCTTTTGGAGAGTAAAAAGGAGAAAAAGGTATTGGAGCAAGAAATGAAAAAAGCGAAAGAATCATTAACGAACACAGCAGGAACAAAGCACAGCAATAAATAGGGCTGCATGGTAAATCGGATTATTATTATTGCTATGAGTTTCTGCAATAAACACATTGTTAAAAGAGCAGTTTGGCTAATTTACCCAATTTTCCACTTACCCTAGACATAGTCTACCAGCCAAAACATGTCTGAAGTCCAAATTTTGCTTCTTTACTTCAGAACTGAAGCTACAAGGACAAGGTTGCTAACAAACACTAGAACTCAATCGTCTCTCAAAAAGCCCAAACGGTTCTGCAAAAATAAACCAATAAAACGTCTTTTATTCTGCTTCAAGGTCTTTATTAAGTTGTGCAGACATGCTCATGTGGTTTAGAGCGCAGTATGACTTACTGTGAACTATAAAAAAAATTAAAAAACTTCATTTTAGACTACATCAGGTCTGGTATTCGTAAGCAGGGCTGACCTTAACTCAGATTCCCCTGCAATTTTTACAAATTAGTTATAATTACAGACTGTAGATCAGCACTCGAGATGGTTTGTGAATGCAGACCCTACAGTGGCTGCCTGCAGTTTTGTTCATATTTAAAGCTCACAGCAAGTCATACTCTGCTCTAAATCATATCGACAAGTCTGTGTGATCTTAATGAAGACCTACAAGCAGTTTGAACAGGGTGAAAGAGGCTTTAGTGATATTTTTGCAGAAACGATTTGGGCCATATGGGTGATTACTGAGTTCTGCTGGTTGTTAGAAGTGTTAGTCTCACATGTTCAGCTCTAAACTAAAGAAGCAAAATTTGGACAACAAACATGCATCACCATAATGAGCTTTTTAAGGAATGAAATATAGATTTATTAATTTTGTAGGCCTATACCGAAAACCAATATAGACATACTTATTTGTGTTTGTAGCCTGACTGCAAACATGAGCAGAAAAAGCTGTTCTGGGAGTCCTGACTGGTTTTAGAGTGAAGTACCTCATGAAACTCACTGACACTTCATAGGATCTAAATTCTCCACAAGGGGGTGCCATTAGTTTTTAACCACCCAATAGCTTTTGATGCTTGGCAAGTGCAGCACTTCACAAGAGCGACACTGCATGTCCTTACTCAGCCTTACAGCACACAAAACAGATCTTGCAGTTTTGATGTAAGTAGCTAGAAATATTTAATTATTTTTACAACCCCACTTCCAAAAGAGTTGGGATGCTGTGCAGAATGTAAACAAAAACAAAATGCAATGATGTGCAAATCATTTGACCCCTATGTTTCATTGAAAATAGTACAAAGACAACATATCAAATTGTTGAAACTAAGAAATTATTTACCACCAGGTGTTATATTAACACCTGGTGGTTGATTGGCAACAGGTCAGCAACATGACTGGGTACAAAAGAGCATCCAAGAGAGGCTGAGTCTTTCAGAAGTAAAGATGAGGAGGGGTTCACCACTCTGCGAAAGACTGCATGATTAAATAGCACAACAATTCAAGAACAACATTTCTCAAGTAGCAAATAACTTATGCCTTTCATCATCTACTGTAAAATATTCAGAGAACCTGGAGAAATCTCTGTATGCAAGAAACAAGGCCAAAAAATAGTATTTGCTGGCCGTGATCTTTGGGCCTGCATTAGGCGGCACTGCATTAAAAACCGACATGATTCTGTAGTGGAACTCACAGCATGAGCTCAAAAACACTTCTAAAAACCAGTGTCTGTGAAAACAATTCATCACTGCATCCACAAAATGCAAGTTAAAACTCTAAAATGCAAAGAAGAAACCAAATATAAACAGGATCCAGAAATGCTGCCACTTTCTGTGGGCCCAAGCTCATTTAAAATGGACTGAGGGGAAGTGGAAAAGTGTCCTGTGGTCTGACGAATCAACATTTAGCATTCTTTTTGGAAATCATGGACACTGCGTCCTCTGGGCTAAAGACCACTCAGCTTGTTATCAGTGCACAGTTCAAAAGCCAGTATTCATGACGGTATGGGGTGCATTAGTGCGCATGGCATGGGTGACATGCACATCTGTTAAGACACCATTAATGCTAAACGATATATACATGTTTTGGCAACATATGCTGCCATCCAGATAAAGGGAAGGCCTTGCTTATTTCAGCAAGACAATGTAAAATCACATTCTGCATGTATTATAACAGCATTGCCCTATATTAAAAGAGTCCGGGTGCTAAACTGGCCTGCCTGAAAAATACGACAAAGGAGACCCTGAACTGTTGAGCAGCTGAAATCCTATATCAAACAAGAATGTGAAACACTTCACTTTCAAAACTACAGCAGTGTCTCCTCAGTTCCCAAACGCTTACAGAGTGTTGTTAAAACAAGAGGTGATGAAACACAGTGGTAAACAGGCCCCCGTCCCAACTTTTTTGGACTGTGTTGTTGGCATCAAATTCAAAATGGGCAAATATTTTTCAAAAAACAATAAAATTTCTCAGTTTCAACATTTGATATGTTGTCTTTGTACTATTTTCCTTTAAAAAAAATAGGGTGATTAGCATTGCATTCTCTTTATTTACATTCTGCACAGCGTCCCAACTTTTTTGGAAATGGGGCTGTATTACTTTGCACAATAGTGACTGTCGCTTTTGTAACTGCTGCGTGCTTCTAGAAGAGGCTAGTTAGATTTCTGTTTACACAGCAAAAACAAAGTCTTGCAGCACATCCAGTCAGAGACACTGTTTTAATAATAATTTATTGCGTTTCATTTCATCATCATGATATCCAGCAGCTTCATTGCATTTTATGTCAATATTGTGCATCTTTAGTGTTAAAGGAGAAGCTTCTGCATGACTGAACTTGATTATTTTGGGGGACGTGGAAAAGACTCTCATCGTCTCACATATAAACAAACACTTGCCTTCATCTCAATGACCGTCTGCAGGGCTTTGGTTTTGGCAGATTCCGGTGCTCCCTCATAGCGTCGGTGGATCTCCTGAGGAGAAAGCATAAGACGAGGGTCATGAGGAGTTGCAGCCATGGGAATATGATGCCTCCCCCTAGCAGCGGCTCCCAGCAGCCGCAGGTCCACGCTACCATCCCACATCATTCCAGCTCAGCCCAAGCTAGTGTTCTCCTATGCTTTCGCCAAGTTCTGAGCAGTCTCTTCTTTTACTCCCTGCTTTTTAAATGACATCATATGGTTCAGAACAGAGCACAGACCCAGCCTGCCGGTCTACTCTCATGCTTTCTTTTAGTGTTGAGTGTTTGTGCTTCACTGAGTCTCTTATGATCAGGATAATGTACCCAGCATCCCACAAAGGCAGCTAATGCAACTTCTACCACATACAAAGAGATGGAGGCAGCCTGCATTACCCGAGGCAATTAAAGAACACAAATTTGATGATGGTACAAAAACAAAGTATGTGTGGTAGAACAAGTAGTTTTATGCATTCGTAAAAGATTACATGCAAATAGCATGATGCATCTGCCCACAGTACGTATGTGAGTCAGAGCTATCATGGTGGCCTTGCGTTGATATTTTGGTAACATCTGAAAAAGGTCAAAGAAAATTAGAAATTAGTTTTGTATGCATCAAGCTATCTGACCCCTGAAACATGTATGGAGAGAGCAGTCATGATTATGGGGAATACAAGCTCTGTCGACTTGAGTATGCCTTCCCATTTCCCAACTGGTGGGTGCAACTTGTGTAGTTTTTGTTTTTGTTAGATTTGATAAAATAATTATGAGAACAAAGCCCCTCAGCTACAGTGGCACATGGATAGTTAATGATTCTCCTTTTATCTATGAAGCAACACCTCAAAGTCATGAAAGACAATGTCTTTAATTATTCAGTTTACAAACTGAGAAATATCAAACATTTGACTGTTTCAGTTAAGAAAGCCTAATTACCCAGTAATGGTCCACCACAAAAGCACAAATTGCAGTTACAAATTTGACAATTTTTCTCTGTATATGATTTTAAATAAAGGAAAATGTTCAAAAAGCCTCAACAACAAGGGAGAGACCTAACTTAAATACAGTACTTTGCAAAAAATTAAGGCAACTTTGATTTAAAAAGCTATTTAAGTGTCCAGTAAGTATTAATTTACTCAGAAAATACTAATATTACAATAAATAAAAATACAGCTGGTTTACACAGTAAAAATTTCATGCAATTTTTGTAGTTTGACATGAAACTAGACTGCATGAATGTAAAGCATCCTGAAACTCATTTGAAACTCAGCCACAACATTTGCAAATGTTTCAACTTAGTGAAACAAGTTTCATGAAACAGCCAATCAAAACGGCAATAAAAACACATCATGATCACACCGAATGGCACACTTTCAAATGATTCATTGCTTAGATTAGTGAACAACTTGCACAGAAATGATGCTACAGGCAACTTGCAACTCGCAACTAGTTGCATGAAAGTTTCACAATGTAAAGCCAGCCTAAATTAATAGAATATGCAGTGATTTTGTGTTAGAATTCTTGTTTAAGTACCTCTCCTCATTGAAGTCTGAACTGTAGCTATAATCCAATGTCTGTTGTGGATAATAATAATAATAATAATAATAATAATAATAATAATAACAACAACAACAACAACAACAACAACAACAACAACAACAACAACAACAACAACAACACCAGCACTTCATTATGTTACATCAAGTGCGCTACTGATTGAATTTAACAAATCAATGTGACTTTTCACTTGTAACTTTTGTACAATATTGTAGTTCCACTTTTTGGCACTAGGTGTCAGCACTCTCACAGAGCTGCTATGGTTAAGGAAGGTCACTAGAAGCCTTGTCTGTAATACAAAGAGCAAGAAAGTAGACCAGTTACATGTGTGAATGTGAGCTCTGAACGGAAGCTGCTAGTTTCAGTTTATATGAGCAGTACTGACAGTGTTAAGTTTGGGGAAACTGCTGATGGGATGAATGAGCAACAGCTGGAGCTCCACCGTGACGAGCCTCTGTGTACAGTGAAAATAAAACAAGTAGAGGAAGATACAAATATGTAGAAGGTAGAACATCCATGTGTTTTCTTCCAGACAAATCTTTACTTCACTGACCCAAGAGACCCGTTTCACTAGATAATGTGTAACAGATCTTATGTAAGAATTCCAGCTACAACGCATGTGGACTGTGAATAAACTTCAAGCGGCCGGTAGCGTCTGAGCTCGGTGGGAATTTGCAAGACTAAACGTGACAAATCGGTCTTTAACTAAATTAACAATTTCTGCACTCAGCAACATCCGTCTCCTTTCATCACTGTCCTCTTCCGTCTCTCCTGTTTCTATAGCAACTAATGTTCAATGGCTTCAATCTGTCTCTCTCTGTTCATGTTCATAAGTCTGAGTGTCTGCTTGGTCTCGTCTTATGAGTCTGGGACTTCAGAGCTTTTCCCCTGACCCTAGTAGACTGGAAAACTCAAGGGTCAAACACTGACATAAAACAGTAGTAGAGGCTTAGCAAATTTAATGAGATTTACATGAAACAGAGGAAAACAAAAGAGTTAATTACTTAAGGCACGAAGTACCATAGTACCACAGTGCATTAGGTCCAGCCAGGCTTTGATTATAGCAGCAATGATGGCTGTTTAACTCCTTACATCCTAAGAGGGGCTAACAGATATTAACATTTTGTGCCCAATACTGATAATAATTTTAAGGGAAAAAAATTATTTGATTTATATTTTACACTAAGAATCTCTCACTGGGACAGTACCCCTCTATAATCAGAGAACATAACTGTACCATAATCCATTGAAATTATAGTTTCTAAGTTACATTTTACCCCATTATCAGAAGATTGCAAGTTTGAATACCGTGAACAAAAAAGACACTATTTCAGTGTGTTAATATTGGCTGATATTATTGGCCAACACATATATCGGTTTGGCTCTTATCTCAAAGCTGGCTTTACACAGTGAAACTCTCATGCAACTTTAGTTGCTTGAAACCCAAAAAAATTAAGAAATAAATTCCACTTGAGCTGCATAACACAAGGCATCCTGCAACTCATTTGAAACTCTACCATAACAGCTGTAGCAGTTTCAACAACAGCCAACCAAAATGACGTTAACGCATTACATGATCATGTCGAACGACATTTGAAACAAGTATCAGTTTCTCAAAGCTAATGTTTCTGTAACCGCCTGGTTTAAAGAGCCAGCTAACAGTAACAGCTGTTAATACGGCTGCTTGTGCAACCGTTTATTCTTCTAAATTAGTTATTACAATCTATTCAGCTAGATTATTCATCTTCTTCTTTCTTGATAGCCCCCAAGATATGCATGCGCACATCTCCACAATAAGGACAAGCTTTTCCATCTGGAGGGGGACTTTCTTCATAAACAGACTTTGAGCATTACAAGCTTTCCAATTCATTTTCCATCCAGTAACCTGTCTCTTCCTTTATAACGTCTCCTTGCATAGCTGTCAAGCTGCACAACTCACAACATGCAACTAGCTACACAAAAGTTTCAACATGTAAAGCCCACCCAAGGACGAATATGTAGCCCACACTTAGTTCCTCACTCTCGTACTTGCAACTTGCATATTACTTTCATGACACAAACCAAAAAAAAATCATATTAGCTACTATATAATAATTTTTTTGATGGGATTTTCCCCCCAATTTTCTCCCCAGTTTAGTTGTCTCCAATTCCACCCACTAGTTAGGACCCCAATCACGCGATACTACCAGCTCTAAGAGGGCGAAGGCTAACACAGGCTTCCTCCGAGACCTGTGAAGCCACCGCATCCTATCAAACTACCAGCTCTGTTACGTCAGCTAACAGACACCTGCGCTGACTAGCATCGCGCTAAGTGATGGGGGGAGACGGGGGCCATCGTACCCACCCAGAGAGCGAGGCCAACTGTGCTCTCTTGAACTCCCGGCCACGGATGACTGTAGCATCACCAGGGATCGAACTCACAATCTCCTGATGACAGGGCCAATGCTTAGAAGCTGTCTAGCCTTAATGGAGTTAAAGGTTATATGAGGTTAATGAGCGCACTAGTCAGTGTTTTACCTCCCTCAGTGCAGAGGTTTCCTTGTCCCTCTGCTCCAGCAGGCTCTCCAGGTGGTGGATGTGCATCTCGGCCTCAGCCAGGCGGCGCGTGCGCTCGTGGTCCTCCTCGCTGGCTTTGGCCGACAGCCCTTTGCTCTGCAGCATCTCCAGGAGCTTCTTGATGGACTCGTCGCGGGCGCTGAGCGTCTGCTTCTGCGTGTCTATGCGCAGCTCCATCTCCTCTAGAGTCTTTCTCAGGAGAAAGAGCTCCTTGGCCTGCCGCTCGTGCTCAGCGTGAAGCCTCTGGAAGTTCTCCTCTGTGAGCTCGGCGGAGAACGGCTCGCCTGGCCGGACGCTGCAGTCCTGCTGGAACAGTTGATTCAGGTCACGCTGGATGCGCAGCTCATCCTGCAGGGCCTGGATGGTCATTTGGAGGTGCTGCAAACAGAGAGGAAAATGTGTGTAAATAAACTGTTCCGCACTGAAAACAGCATCTGCCAGGGGTGTGAATTAGGATTTTTCGGGAAATTATTAGGAGTATTATGAAATCTCAGATTTTGCCACAATTCAGTGCAATTATTTTGGCATTCAGAATAATGTTGAAAAAAATTTTCTGATAAAAATCACAGACAAAAATCATTTACAATACTTTTTATGCTTAAAAAATAGCTTGAGAAATGCATAATTTAATGAAAATACCAATATCAATGCAAGTGCAGCTGAATCCCTTAATTTTTAGACCCTTATTGCGTGCCATCACAATTTGTCACAATTAGTTATTCATTTTAGCTCATTATAAAGAGGTAGAAATTCACAGAAATTGCAAACAAAAGTGTAACAGACATGAGAGCTTGCCAGTGTTTACAAAAAATGAATGAGGAAACCTTTGCCAGCTGACTCAGTTTCTGGACCGACAAGAGTTAGTCCCCTTCTGAGATTATTATGTGCTCTGCTGCAGAGCACCTCATGACTGCACACGTCTCCATCTGCCTATGAGGCTTAGGCTGACCCCCTGTCTATGTGCCACCATCTATGTATACAAATGAGGTTAAACTCCAGCCAATTCCAGCATTACTGCAGCTATTAGTGTTGTAAAAATGGCATTAGCTCAGCAGAAGTAGAAGCACTTTATCCTGACTTTTGCATTCATAATAATGCACTCGATGACTAAGCTTTCTGGCTGTAGAAAACAAAGCACAAGAAAATTGTCTGAGCCCCTGTGGGTTCAAACCGTGTGACATTCAGGCTTCACTGTGGACTCTATTCCAGACATGCCACAGGCGACGGCATTGCTAGGCAACGGCAGACAACGTAAGAGGGAGGGGCTACACATGTGCACTCACTGCTCAAGTCTGTGCAGGTGTGGGCAGGCCAGAAGGGCTGGGGAACAAGATGACTCTCATATCTTCATGTCACTGCTGTCGGAACAAAACCTCGTATCTCCATTTTTGTCGTTTTTCAGTTTTTGACAATCTGAAAATGCCTGTTGTTCTTTACATTGTGTGTAAATTTCATAATAAATAGACCAAAAGAAACCAAAAGCCCAAAATTACTTGGAAAATTCTGGTTCCATTGACCTACATTAAAAGTAAAGTAAGTTTTTTTCTTCTCCTGTAAAGTTATCAATTTGGAGATACGAGGTTTTCTGACAACAGCGACATGCTTGATTGGAAAGAGATCAGCAATTTCCAAAACTATAATAAAGCAGCCATTTAGGCTGTGATGTCATTTATCACGATAACAGTAAAATATTGCCCACCCCTACTTCAATGTTAGCAAAATTAATACAAAAAAATATTAAATTAGTAATTGTCCCACACCATGACAACAATAAGAGACTCTGATATTGATATATATATATATATATATATACACATATATATATATATATATATATATATATATATATACACATATATACACACACACACATATACACACATACACACACACACACACACACAAGACCTTGTGTAACACATGTTCACCACAACAACATGTCCACATTCAACTCAATTTTGAAGAAAGTAAAGCTTGGACTAACGTCAATCTATATTATTGGGATGAGACTTTTCCATCTGAGGATTCTGTGGAGCTGAGATAGCCCCCTGACCCTGCTCCCTGGAGGCCCAGAGTAGCTATTCCCACCTTAGGGAATCAGTCCCAGTGGCCAGAGATAACTCTTAGCAAAGGCAGAGGAACAAAGCTCTAGCCAATTCACTTTGCCATCCCCTAAAAAGTACTCAGTGAGATGATAATCATCTTGTAATGGAGTTTGATCATAAGCTATGGCTGCAGTCTCAGAGCAGACCTGTAGATGCAGAGGAACTGAGAGTGATGAGCTAATGCAGCACCCAACCTCACCACAGTGACATCAGGTCTGCCTCTATATAATGGACCCAAACAAGTGATAAGCACCATCCGGCCTTCTGGTCATCTCTGTCCTCTGTTCCATCACTTCCTCTCTCTTCCACATGGTCTCTTTCAGCCAAGCTAATAAGTGATGGACAGTTACAGTCGTGTGCAAGATGGCGCTAAAATGATTTTGAAGCGAAGTGAACACATCCTCTACAGAGAACCCACTTCTGCATATTTTACTGCACAATTATTGTACTGGTGTATATACACACACACACACACACACACACACACACACACACACACATTATATATATATATATATATATATATATATATATATATATAATTTTTTTTTCTATTTATTTTTCATTCAGGTACTACAAGGGGACTTACCTTTGCACCTGTGTTAATGTGATGTGATAATAAATGTGATTTTATTTTTGATTCGATTTTGTTTCTTTCCTGAAAATAAGATATTGATGGGAAAAATAAAACATAAAATGTTTATTATTGTCCATTTTATATTTTGTTTTTTTTTTTCTCAATATGTTAAACCCAACATGCTGAAATCTGTTCCCTGTACAAGATATGTTAACTTTCAACAAAATGTCATTTGACATGTTCAAACATTTGCATAATTTGGTTTCTGTCAATACGTATAAAGTATGGTAATAATATATGACAATATATGGCAAATAATATGTCACTATATGACATACTGTTATAAAAAAAAGGGTCACAACTACATTGCATAGCTAAAAAGAGTACTAGCAGTGATCACAAGGCCTGAATTTTGCCTGTACTTTTGTCCATTTTGTCCATTTTGGTAATTGTTGCAAACATTTTCTCTGGCCAAACCATCTCTTTAAAGACATCAGGATTACTAAATGAGGACAGAGAAGGAAAGAAAGCAGCAGCATGGAGAGATGAGGCAAGGAGCACAGACAAGATAAATGAAATAAAAAGGTTACTACTAGTGATTCACAATTATCAGCACTGTGAGAACCCGATGGCCAGCCTGAGAGGAAACAGAAGGCCTGCTGTCATTTTGTGTAACAGCAGGAAAGACTAACAGATTGAGATAAACAAGAGCAGAAGACAACATGTCCTGTGACATGCTATGCTCATTGATGCATAGACATGAGGACTGGTGAGTCATGAGACAGACTCATGCAAATATGCCTCCCTCTCTCTCTCTCTCTCTCTCTCTCTCTCTCTCTCTCTCTCTCTCTCTCTCTCGACAATAGAAACATCACAAGGAGGAGGACGGAGAGCTCAGGGCTGCCATCCATTCTCTCTGTCTTGTAAAGGGACGAGTCAGAACACATCCACCAACACGTAACCCAAGCACTTTGGTCCTGGTGGACCTTAGCCTTCAATTTCAGGCAATATAATATGGCCTGGGCTCATATAGAGGCTGTTTACACCTTGCAAATCATGAGTTAACAGCGAGTGGATCCTGTTCAGATTTCATACGAACGCATGAACGGCCAGGTATAAACTACAGCTGAAATATTAATCATTTCTATATTGAAATCACGATTTGAAACAGCAATTTTCAAATCGCAAGAACCACAATTTAAACTGTCAGCTAAAAGGGGAAATTTAACCTTCTAACATAAAGCTTGTTGAACTGGCAGTCCGAAAAGTAGATGTTCTGGTCTTACTGAGGGGAAAAAGGCTTAATCGCTTAATTAACAGAAAACAAATCACACTTCCATCGCAATTGTAATACTGGTCATAAAAATTGCAGATCATATATTTTCCCCAAATCATTCCGCCCTAGTGTAAACACACACAGGAAGCTTTGTGATTTGATTATGAATGAAACACTCAAACTACATTCAGGGGGTAGTCAGAGGCCATGTTCACATTACTAGGCTGAAATGCTACATACGTGATTTTTGTGCCTTAATGAGACACAAATCTGATGTTTTCAGAGCTGTGTGAACACAAAAATCTGATGTTTTCAAATCAGATCTGAGCCTCTTTCATATGTTATTCTAGATCGGTTGCATATCCATTTATGAGAAGAGTGAGATCATGTATGTGTCCCCCCCCCTTATACTTATGAATTATAAAAAATAATCCTCCTTTGCAGCAAAATAAAGCTCTGCTGATCATTCAAACACAATTTTTGAAACCAAATGGTCTTAAATACTGGAGTTAATGTAGAACTGCTAATTCACCCTTCAACCCTGAAGGTTGGCACGCAGACTACTGGTCACCAAAGCAACGCAGACAACAGTCTCGCCTAGCTATTAACTAACAAACAGGTAAAGTGAATGATTTAAGACAAACATTGATAATTCAGAGACAAATGGACTTATTTGCATTTATAAGCATTTAAGCTGGTTTTGATACATTTAATCTGCAGTGAGAAACTGTCAAAACACAAAAGTCGTGAAGCTGAAACCAGTTTCTTGTTCTAATTTTTACAGAATGTAACTGCTGCACCATTTAAGGTGGAACGGGAAACTATTCCACTTTTGAGGAAAAGTTTCCTGCTGGAGATGTGAGAAAAACAGCTACAGCTGAGCTAAAGCTTAAAGCAGAGCATAGTAAGCCTGCGTTTGTGTTTATATTTTTAGCCTATACTAGTACATTAGCATGTGCAGAGACATATTTGCAGCCAAGATGGTAAAATGGACCAAAAATGTTGTGGCTCCCCAGGTGGTTTGATTTTTGGTGAAAGGATTAATTTTCTCTTCTTAACATTTGGGTTGCCGACCCCTGGTCTAACCTGAAGTTAGTGCTAATAAACATTACCAAAGAATCTGACTTTCTTTCACCTTCATCTTGCTCTATTAATAAACAGCTGAGAGCAGATTATCTTGGTGAGAAAGGCTTTTTCTGTTGATTAGTTTGTTGTTCTTTATGAACGTGGATCATTCACATGCTTTTCTCAATAAGGATATGCACATATTGGTCATTTCAGGACACGTGTGTTCACAGTAATGACAGATTCGAGGCACTTAAACACACAAATTTGAACCAGAGTTAGAAAGATCGGATCTGAATTAATTATTTTATTAATATATTAGTTGTATTTCGTTCAATTAAACACTTACTGCCCA